TTCATCGTTAGGCCCAATAGACATTCGAACGCCTTCACTCCTTTACTTTTGTAGCGGAAGTGGAATTCATCCAACCGTGAGTGTCCTCAGATTGCCCTTACCCTGCAGTCAACTTTTTGCTGCCTCTAGGAGCAGTAATGACCATGTCGTCTCTGCGATGAAGTTCTCGTTCCCAGACTAGTGGAAGATAGAACAAGTGGCTATTATAATTTGTCTAAGTTTCCATTTTCTCTTAACGGCAGGTGACACGACAAATCGCCAAGGAGCTTTCGTCCTTCGACGCCTCGCCCTGTGCCCACCCAATGAATGACTACCCCATCTGCTGGGCCCTGGTGTGGTTCGCTAGGACAAAAAGCGACTTGTTTGTTTCCTCTCAGCAGAATTCCATGTTGCTTTTCGCAGAGCTTTCTTCGCTGCGAAATCCACTGGTCCACTTCTATCAGTGGTGGACCTGACCTGAGTTGCGCTGCGTAAGGCGAAAAAGTCTCTTTTATCTCAGCGAACCACACCCCTTGGCCCTCACTGGGACTCTACCCATTTTAGTAGAGAGTTGGAGCAGAGCGCTTACGTTGATGAGATCAGGGCTGGATCGCCCAATGCTGAGTTCAACAGGTAATGCAACGGTCCCGTTTCGCAGGTTTTAGGCCATTTCCCTAGTTTTTCGCCAATGCTGTACCTGTTAGCAACTCTAGTTACATTCCCGACTGAAGAATAATTTAGCGTACCACCTGCCTTTAAGATCACGCCGGCAATAATGCGTGCAGGCATCCCGCTTATCCCTGTTTGTACTTGGAGCCGCAATTTGTGAATAATACCAAGTCGACGTCACTCTTTTTGGCTTCATCCGTCTTATGGCATCTCTACAGAAATCCTGCTGAAAAGCATGTGAGAAACAATGCCTAAAGTTCAACAAGGAGATGTTATCTAAGACGTCGGCACTCCCATTTTCAGCAGTCGAGCTTTTTTGTACAACAGAAAAACGCGTGAAATCTAGAGATGTCTTTGATTGGAGCTTGGCAACAACTTGGCTGCCAAGTCCAAAGAGTATGTGCCTTGACTTCTCTTTCCGGGAACAGTGTACACTCTCATGATAGTGCCGCTTTTTGAAGAAGTCTAAATTCAAATACAATAATGAGAGAAGACATTCAAACACTTTTTCATCTTTACCTGGATATAAATCGAGCTCTCCAACAACAAACGCTACTAGGTACGAAGACATTTGAGGAGTACGATCAAATTTCACCCAAACCTTCTTTGCTCCATGGAAATCACATGGAGTGGCCGAAACCACAGGCTAGAATGATTTTTTTTCGAAGATGTGAATTTTTTCATTTTAAACAATAATGTTGCTTCAAAATCATCTAAGTGAAACGAAAGCATGAAGCTTACCATGTTAGAAATGGCGGTCATTCCAGGATCAGTAACTATAGAAATATCAAATGTTGCTTTGTATATGGGTTCATCGAAACATGGAAATGCGTAACGAGCGTAAGTGGACTGCAAACAAGTAAAAGTTAAGATTCACACAGTTGCTTCATTATGAACCCGTTTTTAGCTAACAAGGGAAGGATGGTAGGTCGAAGTGGCCGTTCGAAATGAAATGTATACCTCCTGATGCGTCTCCAGACGCTGATTCCAAATCTGCCTTCCAAATCTGCTAAACGACTCTCCGAACGGAGTTATGAAGCGTAATAGCTCAGTGGTGATGGTCCGGGGTGGCAGGTAAAAGCTCGTAGGATCGGTTCCTTTGCAAATTGGTTGCTTTGCTTTTGTCTCTAGAAGTGTTGCGGACAAAAGCAAAGCAACAAACTTGCAAAGGAACCGATCCTACGAGCTTTTACCTGCCACCCCGGACCATCACCACTGAGCTATTACGCTTCATAACTCCGTTCGGAGAGCCGTTTAGCAGATTTGGAAGGCAGATTTGGAATCAGCGTCTGGAGACGCATCAGGTGGTATACATCTCATTTTATAACGGCCACTTCGACCTACCATCCTTTCCCTTGTTAGTTGGCTTGATGCCAGCTTCAAATTTGACAATAAAAAGGAATGTGAGAAGAAATGGGTGGCCTACCTCAAATTGAGTTGATGCTAGAAATTTCTCCTGATTGTGTTCGTCTTTGTAGGTACTTCTATAGAAACCACGCATTTTATCGTTAATTTCACCTGTATAGTCGAGTGACAAGGTGACCTGCAAAAAAATCCATTAGGATGACTCCGCTGTTTCTATGAGTACTAAATATGGGACTCAAACAACAAATAATTGGAAGTGACGACCAGTACGTTGAGTGTGCAACCATTTGGCACCCAATTCGATAGCTAGCTATACGAAGTTATTACGGATCATAAGTGTGACTCAAATCCTTGAGGACTGAAAATTTTTTATTTAGTGACGTAGAGCCGTGGCTAAAGATCAATACTAACAACTACGCTCCGAAGAGAAATAATTAAAAACTCTTAGGAAACCGGACAATAACATGAAACTGTCCACCAAACCATTGACAGCCCGAAAGAGCAATGAATGAACTCTTCATGTGTTCAGAACAAAGAGTAACCCCAAAAATATTAATACCTCTGTCATCCTCCAAGGTCAACTTCACCGAGTCGAGCTTAATCGAGACCATGTGAATTTTCAAGATTTCCGTCGCTTCCAAAATGCGAACAGTCAAAGCTACAGTTCCATTGAACGCAAAGCTGAAAAAGCTTGGTTATAATACGAAAGTGAGACAGGTGGTGAAAAATATTTTCATTGAGGTATTTCTGAGTATTTTGCAAATCCATTCCCAGAAGCATATCACACGATTTCAGGGCGGAATGTTTTGTCCCATGTCCATAACTGTGTGAATTATCTCTAGAAATGCCCACTTTTCCACTTCTCCCTCTAAGAGAGACCCGGATGAGCTTAAAAGTATGGCCGTTAATAGCAATAAACCAAAAGTAGGTAGACAAGGGACAATCGTTTCATCCAAGACGAATGCTTATCAGGTCTTGGAGAACATTGCAGCCAATATCCAACGAATTGGGCTCATTCTTTTCCTGCTTTACTGGTAATGACTATATCGATCCTTGCGTTGACATTCAATTAACACCATGAACTTAGTTCTAGCTTTCACGCATTTACATCCTTATGAGAACGCCTTATATGATCATTTCCAGCATGTCTTACATACAAACACTAAAACTGCTCTTGAATGAAGCCAGGCTTCGCTACACACGGTATTTTTAAGTGTACCTGCCTTGGAATGACCTTGAAATTCAAGGTTCATAAAGGTGATTGCAGAACCATCATTATAACCGCTGAAGGTTGCCGCTCAGGTCACGGCGCGATATGGCAAGAGTTTTGATGGCCCCTATCTTCCTTGAACCAACATTTCAAGAATTACTCGCTCTCATATTCGATGGAGTAATAGAATGCTCCGGTGCATCTTTGCATCTTCTCTTATTTAGGGGTGTTGCAAAAATGCCTCCCCTCATGTTTCGCTCAGCTTCGCCATTTTTCGCACAAAAAATGTAAGCCCTCTCATAGAAATTTGGGCACCTCCACATCTGATGAAACTGGCTAGGCCATGGCGCAAACCTTCGAAGTTTTCGAGATCTTTCTTCTACGAAATGTGTCACACTAATAAGAATAGTAGTGACCACTGCGAAGCGTGAGATCAGAGATATATGAGGGAAAAGCGAAAAGTTCCTGCGCCGATTTACATCAGGACAATATATGATTCATCTTTACACCAAGACCCCCTCCTATGCTGCACCAAGATTCATAATATGTCGAAATTGAATATGACTTCTCAGCCCAATTCTTCGAATCCCGCAGCTTCGAGTGTCCGCCGTGTCGTGTCCGAAGAAAACGACGTGACCACCCTCAGCGTGCATCGGCTGTTCTTCGGGAGCATATACCGCCATCATACAAACTGATATCAGCTCCCACAATTCCGCCAAGTTCATTGTCGCTCAAAGAAGAGATTACGATGGGATTGAGATGGGTTCCTGATGGGGTGTAGATTGCTGGAGTAATGCCCTCGTGAGCGAAAAAAGCTAAAAAAAAAATTCCGGATCCGTTATAGGAACACGCGAAATGAAACCGTCTTCTCTGCCCCTGACCTCCGAAATGGACGAGCTAGAACCAACTAAGGGGTCGCTTGCCTATTTGGTTTGAACAAAATAGCAACGACCATTGCAGCAATCAGCCAGCTTTGATTGATAAAGCATTCCATGAGAAAGTTATTGGATACGCGCTCGAAGTGGCATACCTTATCAGAATGATAATCGAACAGCGATCTGCTGAGGGGCGGAGCACAGGCGGAGGCGGAGCTCAGAAAGGATTGGCAGCCCCAGGGCGCTGCAACGAGCGCACCTTTAGTCACAAAAAGGCCAACATCTCGATTCCTTCGGCTCCGGGCTACTGCTTACACTGGTGAGTGTTCTTCCATGCTGCACACAGACTTTATCGTAATCTCTCGCTTTAACCTCCAAGCCAGCAGGTTGTTTGATCATGAATGTCGAGCTTTAGCGTTACCTATGCGTCACCAATGCAGTGAACAATTTATCTGAATCCATCCAACTACGGGTGAAAGTGAAGCCGAAAATTTTCCTCAGCGGAGACAGAATAATTACTGAGCGCTTGTGAGTCGCCTTTGCGAGTCGCCTCAAAGTGTGGCACCCATTCCCTCCCCTGTTCTGCTTATCAATCTTATGAACGAAGTAGAAAATCATAATTCGGTGTCAACCGACGATCTCCAAGACTTTCTCCTCAATTGGCAGAAATCCGAGTTCGAGACTTATTTCAGCCGTCAGTGACTGCTGCTGGAGTCGCTGGTGACATAGTTTGCGTTTGGGAGTAGGAAGTTCAACCTACACGCTAGGACCGCTTTCCATGAGGAAAACGGGGGGAGGGAGGAGGAGGGGAAGGAAACGGTACCTGTATTCGCAAAACATTGCGTGCTCGATGGCCGCAAATTCTCCTAACGAAGCACTTGTTTTGCACAGAGCAAAGATGTTGACGTGCTGGCCCATCATGACATTAGCACTTCACTCATCACTGCTTACCTTGACCCATCTATCGAAGATCAGCCCGCTCAAAGAGCTCGAAGTCGGAAAACAGAGCAAGACGTTCATAGCCTTGAAGTGGGGGGGGGGAGCATAAACGCAAAAGCACAAGTTGCTCACATTCTTGCCCAGAATCCTTCCCCTCTCTAAAGCTCAGGAACAAGTGCTGTAAGCAGCTCGCTCACTTAAATGTCCCCACCAACAACATGGCTGCCCAAAGTAATTCGGCCAAGCATCACTAATCGTAAGGGTCGCATTCATGGTTCGTAACTTAAGAGATTTGGGAAGCGCTGTTGTCGTCGGACGGGGCACCACAGGCGGAGAGCGCATGCAGCCAACCTGCCCCCTCTCCTGTCCCCCTAGGGCTTAGAAAGGATAGGAGAGGAGGTGTGTATACGCAGTTCGAGTACCCGTCGGAACTTATGGTGAGGCAAAGAGGACAGATACCGGGGAATGATTGGGCGGGTGGCCTGCCCCCCCCCCCCCCCCTTCCCCTACTGCCTACCCTGTCTTCACTACTACGGCCTATTCGAATCAGCGCTAAGTGTGTGCAGCATAAAATCGCCCTCTTATCTTCTGTGCCTCCAAGATCTTGCCGTACGGTAAACTTCCTGACCGGTATTTAAGCATGTTCATTAACTCCGAAATCCCTCCTTTCCTCCCAGGATCAGTCCGTCGTCTGCACTATCCCGATGACACCAGCGCCGATTAGGGAAGTAGGCGATAAGGAATTTGGGATAGTAGTGAGATATTCCGCTGAAAAGATTAGATACGTAACGATTGGAATCGTGGGGAGTAACAGATGAGGTGCTTTCATGCGAATCGATCAATACTTATCTGATCATTCCAGCGCACTATCCTTATCTACTACTATCCTAATCTCCTACTCGACTACAATCCTACCGTTAAGATATCATACACCTCCTCTATACCAGGCGCTCATGCTCTCAGGGGGACATTCAAAAGAGGGTCGATGGTGGATGAAACTGGGACTAATTGTGAGCCTAGAAGAAGGAGAACCATTTCTCACATCTCGCTAGGACCCCTTCCCGTCGCCAAGGCTTCGTCCCAAACACAGTAATTGGCTCGCGCACTTAGATGTCCCCCCTCCTCCCTACTCAAGGACATGAGCGTCCCTCATCTGTTTCAATCGATACGTATCTAACTCTTTTAACGGGATATACTACCATACCGCTATCTTAATACCCCT